TGTTGAGCCCAGACTCCAGCCCAATTTACTCAGCATGTCTACCGTTTCAAAAAAACAATGGCTTACCTTTGAATTAGGCAAAGATTGGAATTCTCAGGCCAGAAACATGAAACTGAGGCACAGAACATACCCTTGTCTCTAGTTAAATAATGAATCAGTAGCAAGTTGGGAATGGGAATTCTGACTGCCCAACTCCACATTCTTCTCCCGACCAATGGCTGAGCTGATTAGAAAGACAGTACAGACAAGCTACCCACATCTTCATTCGCGAAGCCTAGCCTTGACAGACAAGCTTATCACCTCTTAAAATGACCCTGCAATGAAATTCTCTGTAGTGTTTAACCAGTAAGCACTTTTATTGTTGATTTTGAATTCATTAAGACTACATTATGTTGGATTATAAGACTTTGGCTACATCTCCCACATTTTCATGCAGGCATTACATTTGCAAGGTTTTCTCAGAAAAATGGAGCACATGCCTAAAATGCATAAAGGTTATATGATTATAACATGGAAGCAGCATGTCAGTTACAGAACTTTGTAGCACGTGTACCAGTAACAAACCCATACCCCCATGTAAAGCTTCTTTGTCCCTCAAAAATCCAACTGCTCCCTCTGGCCCTCATCTCCATGCCCCAGCTGTGTATCAGCCACATCCCCACTGTTTTGAAAACACACATCTTTCTAAACAAAAACAAAACAAACAAACAAACAAATGAGTACAGTATATTTTTCCCCCTTAAAAACTAAAACATTTCTCCTTCACTACTCCCCCTTTTTCCTCCTAAATGAAAAATCTATCATAATCTACACTGTTATATGTTAGGAATCTCTATTGCATTATTCAAAAGTATATCAGTAACAAAATTCTAAACAAACTAGGATGACCCAAAAATTCCCCTTACCCCAAAACTACAGAGAACTGAAAATGCTATACTGCATTATCACACTTGCATGCGTGTATCCTGAGCCACCTCTATTTATTCACCTTGAGCCCCTTTTAATAAATAACTGTCCAGCAGTAACATCCAGAAGTGTGCTGTCTCCTCCAAATTAAACTCTATATTTACAGAAGTAGGGCTGTTTTCTCAGTGAAATGTTTCTTTAAAAAAACAAACAACAACACAACAAAACAAAGTAATAACAATAAAAACAGCATACGATTAAAGAGAGAAAGCATACTACTGATCATGTTGTCTAAAGACCAACAGGAGTGAAAAGCATTAGGAGCACCAGGTGCACATGCATTTGAACTGGTACAGTTCATGAAATAATGTCATTCATTGTTATGCTCACTCTTTCAGATGAGGAGCTGATTCTTTTCCTTTCTTTTTTTTCTTTTTTACATTTAGGACCGTCTGCTCTGCAGGCTACTCTCACAGATGGCAACACATGCACTGAGGTTGAAAGATGGCCATAAATATGCTTTGATCAATGTGGTTCTGTATCATCTTTAAACACACAGGGTTTCCCTCCCTGCTGCTTTGCACCTTGTGTCATTTCACATCTGTGCTAAGTGTGAGCCAAAGATCCCCTGAATCCACATTGTTCTCTTGGATTTGGGGAAACATTAGATACTCGCTTTTTGCAAGTGTCAAATCATGGATTTCCAAACTACTGGAAAATACAAGGGAATCATCCACCACAAGAACATTTCTTAGCAATGTAAGTACTGTAATCACAACTGACATACAAGAATACCAAAACAAACATTGCAACATGGAGCCAGTTAGAGGGATTTTGCTCCTTCGTTTATTTTGCGACAGTTCTCAGCTGATAGACAGCAGTATTCCTGCCTTGATTTCAGTTGGCCTATTTTGATTTATACCGGGTAAAGATCAAGATCAACAGACAGTAAAATAGCAACCAGTTTCTCCTACTGCATTGTTACGATGCCTGAGGTCACTGCAAACAGCTACATTTCTACACAACCAAAAGGCTTTTCTGTAGCCACTGCAGCACATTCATTTCCCCCACCTTTGCAAAGGCAATTCAGTTTGTGTTCACTTTCTCTTCTTCCTGCTTTACCAGCAAACTAAACTTGCAGGGCTCCCGTCACAGAAGCTGCAGCCAAAACTTGAGTTACACACCAAATGCTTAGTTTTCTACATATTCATGCAGGGAACTCCATTTATGCTGAATCTAATTTTCAAATCCATGGTGCTTCCTGCTTTATCATATCTGATCACCTGGAAGCCCAAGTTGTTCCTATTCTTGCTGCACTTGCAAGTTACGCAGAAATCGTTAGTATCTGTTATCTCTGCAAGACTATGATCCCAGCAAAACAAAGAACATTCCCCTCAACTGCAAACAACAGGCATGTTGGACATGTGACTGTGAGAAGCTCTCTCTTAGCCAACACCTCCACTGTTACTGGTAGTGAGTCAAATTTTACCAACATTAACATCAATGCAAATCTGCAACAACTCTACTCATCCTTTCCAAGATCTGTAGGGGTGCACGACAATACAAAGTCTGGCTCATGGCCTTTTTCATTAGCTAAACTCTTGACCCATCAGTTCACTGATTTAATCTCATCGCTGCCTGCTGATAAAGAGACTTGGTGTCTACAGAACAGTGGTCTTCTGTGGTCTTCCCACAAGCAGCTAGAACTCTAATGCCATGTTTTGTCCTGGCACAAGAATCAGTTTTATTGCCCTCTGCTATTTCAATTCCTGATTAAATTTGTTGGGTAATTTTTCTTCTACAACCAATATAAGAAGCTGCTGGGTTCAACTGTACATACACATTATTACAAATAGTCTTAGACTGAGCAAGGTTATTTCCCAAAGGCTTCCGTATGACCAACATAAAGTCAGTCAATGATCTCTGCTTGTAAAGCACCTTCCCCCTCATCCAGGTTCCTACCCTCTCCCTGCAGTCATCCAGTTCCTTTCACTGGTGTCAGAAGCAGAGCTTCACCAGAACTGCAGTGGAAAATTGGATCTGTTTTAGTTTCACCTTTCACCGGAAAGAAACAGAGATAAGTGATGACTTTGTATCACATTGGCTGCAAAAGGTCTTTATATTCATAGCAGTGCCACTCTCGAGCAATTTTTGTAAAGGAAGAGAAACCCAACAAAAACCTACACAGTTCCCACACACAAACACAGACACACGCACACACATACACACACTCTTTTTTCTCTTCCAAAGAGAAATCCATTCTTATGAACCAAAATATGCAGACTTATTCAAGTGTCTAAAAAGAATGAGGATAGGGTTGAGTGCATCCCAATTCTCCTTTATGATCACAATGAAGTCACAGGTCAGCAAAGCACTTGAGCATAAGGAAGTTTCTCTTGACCTGCAGGACATTTTAAAACATGCAGAAGTGCTTTGCTGGCTCAGGCCTAAATTAGGAACAGCTCCAGGGGCAGCTAGCACCCACAACTGTAATTCCACTACCTGCACCAATACACATGAGGTAAGAGCATAACTCAAGAGAGCAGAGCAGTGCAAGAGGAGAAAGAGGCTCTGTGGTTCTTCTGAGTTTATATCTGACAGCCTCAGCTGCATACACACGGCATGTCACAGTGATTAGCATAGACTGATGAGAGCTTGGTGTGATGTTCTGCAAGTGGGACTTCCACTGGAAAGACTAAGCCTGATTTCTGTTTGTACCAGTACAACTTTATATGCCTATAGCACCTGCATGAAAAGGTCATAAATCTGGACCAATTCCATGATACAGTTAGTGTTTTATCTTAGACTTATGTGCCAATAACTACTGTGATGTGCTACACACCCACACACAGATGGAGAAATAGATATATGCTGTGTTATAATGCAACATATCATTAATTCTACAACTATCCTAATAACACAGCCAGTGCCAAAGCGAACCAGCACAGGGATTTGCAGTTACCCTCTCCAATACAATATGATAGGTAGTGGTGGAGAAAAAGCAAGCTCAGGTGTTATTTTGATTCACTAGGGAATGCTCTGGGCACAACCCACTCAGGTATTGCTCAGTGAACACTAATCATGGTGTCACTAATCATGTGTCACACCCACAGTCCCGCGTCATAAATTCCCACCTCTGTGTGGGTGCTCACATCTCTTTCTGATGACACCCCGAATTGAGGTCATGGATGAACAGCCACAATGTTTGGGAAATCCTCTAGCCAAACATATGAAACAGGGATAAAAGCTCAAACTCACACTTCACATCATGCCTCTCAACGACAGGTAGACAGCAAGGTTACATATTATTGGAACCTGGGCTGTCTAAAGAAAGAGCTGCTTATAGAGGAATTTATGTTTGAATCACAAAAGGATCTAATTCTGCTTGGCAGTAAGATCAAAAGAAAATTTATCTAATTAAATAACAACAGAATCAGTCCCTCAGTGCTACTGATGTAAGTAACACACACTGTTTGCATATTACAGCATCTATGCTCAAATTGAATGTATGTTTGCTCCATGTTGGACTACATTTTCTGTAAATGAAAACTAAACACCTAGCCAAAATGCTTTTCTCAAAATTCCTCTGAACTTTGGACAAATATGAACTGAAGTCTTGTCCAACGTTTGGATTTTTAGACACAGTAGTTGGCCTTCAGTGGTTATCCTATGCAACCAAGTCTAAACATATGCTGAGATGGTAGGCTCAAAACTGATTTTTCCAGGTGAAAAAAATGTATCTCGTTTATATGCTAGATTACTGAGCTAGATTATTGGCACATAGTCTCATTTTACCTCATTATTTATATAGGCTTCTTATAACTTTCATAGAAATTCCACCTGCAGAACCAAAGGCAGAAAGTTATCTTTGCAATTATTGATCCATACTAACATCTGGATGCAGTACTGTTAGGGAAAAGAAAGCAAATTCCTCAATGAGCTATGTTTAACCAACCTGCAGGTGGCAGCTATCAAAACCACTGATGCACGTATACCAGCTAAAGTTATTAATGAATGATCTGACATACCAAGTCAGACAAATTGTCATATCTAAATAGATTTTCAAATGTATACATACAAAAGCTGCTACTGTATCTAGATGATCATATTTATTTGTTTCTATATCCCATAGCTCTGAATCTATCCACTGAATGTTTACTCAGCACGTGTGGTATAAATATAGTCATATACTAAAATTGACACTTAGCTATTTTTCTTTTTTTTTTCCCTTCTTTTTTTGCTGACCAGCAACAAATTCTGATATCTTTAACTGTAAACCAATACTCAATAAATATGCTGTGTTCAGCAAAGAGACATGTTGTGTCGATCAGGGTTTTGCTGCACTCTAAGCCATAGGCTGCGGGGGTGGGCGTGAAGGAGGAGGTCCAGGAGGGGCTCGGGATGGCGGTGGTCCAGGAGGTGGCTGCCTGGAAGGGGGTTGCAGAGACACAGGAGAAGAAGAAATCCTTGGAGCATTGTTGAGGGGAATATTGTCACGTCGTGGCAGCTTCGGTGGCGGGCTGTAAGGGGCAGAGGTTCCATCTGATTTCACACGAGTGAAGTTTATGCATCTTCCCTAGAGGTAAAGAAAAATTCATTGTTTGTAAAAAGAAGATATTTTGACTCATCAGCAGATACTCAAAGGGACTATAAGCAGAGGGGCCAGGCTGCACTTCATCCAGTATTATTCACTGGGTCCTAGACATGACATTTAAACCATGCTGTACTAAAGCTCAGCACTAGAAACCAATGCTTTCCTTGAATTTCAGAGTTCCTGCCTACAGGGAACAGCCTAGGACTGGCTTAAACCAAAAGGGACCACAGCATGACTTGGCTCACATGTGCTCTCTGCTCTGCTACTAAAGCTATGAAGAACATGCCCAAAGTGACAGCTCCACCAAAGTCATGCTTGCCTTAGTGGGATCCCTGACTGACAAAGCTGTGCTTGAAAAAAACTCATACAGGATTATACCAGAGGAACAACATTAGCAAAGACATAATCTGTAGCTTTCATTTTCAGAGTGATCCAAGCCTGGTTGGTATCCATGCTTTGAACATTACACTGGGATAGTACATCTGTTTTCTGTACTCCAATGTAGATGTGGCTTCCCTCAGAAACACCAACAAGGTGTGGGACTTGCACAGAGAGCTCTCTAATGAATGTGTTTTCAGAATGGATGTGGGATGCAGGACCTGCAGATTGAAATTTTAAAACAGGAGTAGCTTGGGTTTGAAAAAAATGCAAGCACTGGGGATGTCCTAGTCAACTAGAGGCTAAATGCAAATATTTCAGGGTTTCCTTTAGCCAAAATAAAACTTTGCATAGGTTCCCACTAACCAAGCTCCAGACAGGAAGAGAGACAGACAGACCCCAAAGACCACCTAGCCTTTCCTGTGGGGAGCAGCCAGAGGCTCCTGAGTAACTCAAAACCTACATGGCAACCTCAATCAGACACCTCAGGTAGGTTGCACGCTAGAATCCGCAAACTAAATTCAGCTAAAGGTTATGCCAACATCCCCCAAGCAGATTTAGGAGAAGGACTCTAAATATAGAAAACTTATCTCAAAGCTAAGCAGCTGTAGATCACAATTCCCCCCAGCTACCGATGGCTGTGATAACAGGAATACAAGAACCCACACCAGTGACAAACTGCTCTTGGCTCAGTGCTGTCTGGCATGAGAAAACTCTGAAGGCGTTTAGGGAATAGGCTGAGTTTCTGTGGCAAACCCACAAATCACAATTTCCCCAGGAAACCAGGCAGAAACCATCACAGCAGCACCACAACTATCCATTCTGTTAAGTGACTTCCAATGCCTGCACCTTTATTCATGAAAACTATTTCTTTAAAAAGAAGGGAATCACTCAAGTCTATGGCTTCTCTGAAGGAAGGCAAGCAGCATTTCAATAGAAGCTTGTGTAAGCTCCAGAGAGCTCAGAAAATGACTCAACAAATGTACTAACACCCAAAGGGTACCACCCTACCACTTAGTTGGACTGGATGGCTCGGGGATTCAAGAGCTCAGCTGCCGACATGAGTTGTTTGAATGGGCATGTTGTTGCCTGCACATGAGACATACTCAGTAGTTCTCTGTCCCAGCTTTCAGCATCACAATTCACCACTACACTTAAACAACAGCATCATGAGTAGAATAAAATTGCCTTTCTAAAAATCCAGGCTTGTTACAGCAGACTTTAGTCATGAACTAGGCAATACTATACTGGGGCCAGAGTCTTTTCATGGAGGCAAATGACAAAAGCCAAGGTCTTGGTTACTTCTGCAACAAAGATAAACTACTGGATCAAAAAAATCCAAGTCAATGCTTTGCTCCACTCCATCACAGAACTCAAATTCTCACCAGCATTGCAGTGAGCAGCCCTTCTTCTTAGCTATTTGTCTTCTGCTGTGCTTAACTCTATTCAGAGCACATTTGGAAATTCAGCACTATTTACTGACATGCAATGAATGTTACATATATATTTAACAGTTGTACATCAGATTCATTAAAGGAAACTCAGCCTTGTTATTTATAAACTTATGAATTTAGAACAGCTAAAGAATGAGGACAAAAGTAAAAAAAAAAAAAGAAAAAAAAAGGTCAGAGGTACTCATGTGAGATGCACCATATGGGGAAGGAAAAAATTTAGGACAGAACAATCTCCCTCACAGTAAATGCAAAGCTGAAACCCAACACTAGTGCTTTTGCCTACAAGCCTTTCCTGCTTCTCTCTTGTGTCTCTCTCCCAAACATCAATTCCAAATATATTCATAGTCTATAATCAAAGGGGATCCCATAAATCTGTTTGCATTACTTTCACTTCAGTTAAAGTGATAGGCGACGTCAAACTGCTGCCAGTTTCTGCCACACTCACTGATTTGTCAGACAGATGGGTAATTTAAAGGCCATGCGCTGCATTGTGTCACGAAAAATACGGTTGGGTTGGGGGAGTCTGACAGATAGAGGCTTGGAAGATCGATGTATGTATTGTGACACTTCCTCACAAAAGATTATCGGTGTTAGCCTACAATCTCATATATCAAAGACTTCTGGTGAATACTGGAGCAAATCCTCCTGAGCACTTCAAGCAGCCATTGATAAAATGAGGCCAAACTCTTAGCCAGTGTTAGGATTAACAGCTGAAAGGGAAAGGGAAGAACAAATGATATTAAATCATAAGTGATAGTTTGGACTTATCAAGTGTATTTCATCAAAGGATTTCTAGGTTGAAGAAGCCCTCCACATATCACAGTTTCCTAATAACAGAGGGCCACTGCTATTCTACCTAACACGTGCATCCCTCTGGGGTTAGTTTATAAAAAGATCCATGATGTTTCTCAAATAAACATGCTAACCACAGGATTTTTAATATTTTCTGTTTGAAAGAATTAAGTCATTTCCTCTCCAAAGGCATATAAAGGCTTTTAAACCCTGGAGAACAAGGACAGAAATGAAGTATCCTGCACACTTATCTCTGCTCTTTCTGCACAGAGTATTAACAGGGATTAAGAGCCACCCCAGTTTAGTAGTGGAAATAGTATATTTTTTCCAGAAGCATGGTATACACTTAGTGTTTCAGGGAAGGTGTCAGAGTTGCAAGGTGCAGCAGTACCAGGATGATCTCAGGCACAACAGCTGTCGGTAGCCGCTGTATTGTTTTCTAGGAGGCAGATGATCTGCGTAAATCCAGTTCTGTCTGGTTTCGGCCCCGCTCCCAGTGCAGCATCGCTCAGATGGTGCGACCCACACCGCGTACTGTCATTCAGGCACCAACTGAAGGTCAGCAATGTGCCATATGGAGTTACGCCCTTACTTCAGCTCACATCTGCACAGTCTTCCTAATGCACAATTATTTTGCCTTCCCATATGTCCATCCACTTGTTAGGCTCTTGTTATGCTGCTTGCCAAATTGGCTTTTCAAAAAGTACAAATACTGAAGCAGCAGGATCTGCCCTTGTCCCAACTTCAGCTTTCATCCCAGTGTAACAATCACATGTGCAATTCAGGCACTTTGTACTTCTAGGCAATGCCTCCTCGACCACCTAGGATGTGTTTTTGTGTGTGGTTTAAGGGGGGGGGGGGGGGGGGGGGGAGGGAGGAACCTCTTGAAAGCCACTGCATCATGTTGCTGGGCTACTTCCATCACAGTGCTCAGTACATCATTCCCCAGCACTCATTTCTCCAAAATATCTAGCTACTACTCAGCAAGTTTTCAGTGGAAAGAATCCAGGCAATTCAAAGAGTCTCTTCACCCATGATACTAAGAGCACTTCAGCAAAAAGAATTTAAAAAATCCAGGCCCATCTAGCAGTAGCTGCCCTTTTCTCTCTTCATCTTAATACAGGCATTGGTTTTTAACAAAAATCCAGTTTCATCTATGTGCATACCAGAGTGTTTGTACACATAAAAGTATGCCTGTTTCTCATTTTTAGCTACATTAGTTGACTTAATAAAAGATATTCTTCCTGTTACAAATCTTGAGTTTCCATTCCCTCTTGGTTTTGCTTATAGAGTCTCATTGTTGCAATTCTGAATTGCAGAGGTGACTGAAAAAGAGTTGGCTTCACTTAGTTTACCGAATTTTCTTGGTCTTTGACCTTGTAAGAATATGATACTTGCCTTTACATTTTAGAATGGATTAAAATAATAATTCCTTTAAAATTTGAGCATAGCCATGCAATACACTAGACCACCAAATTAAAAAAAAACAAAGTAGCTCCCAGTAAGAAAGTATTAAAGTTTTTATTATTTTTTAATAAAAGTATTATTTAGGATGCTGAAACATAAAATGAACATAATTTCCTTAGCCTCAACTGAATAATCACTTCTCTCTCTCTCTCCAATTTTGTTTATGGATGTCACTGGGATGACTCTGCCAGCTTGCTGTGGACATGGTTTGTCAGCATGTAGCTTCACTTCCTAAATATCTATTGATAGTTCAGTGTAAAAATGTAGCTCTAAAACTCAAAAGAATATATTCAAGCTTTTATGCTACCTATAAAATCACAAGAGTGAGCATCTACAAGTGAAGCATCAGCTAAGTGAAGATTTTGATCCACACATCCAGAAAACCATGGGATATATACCTTTAAGATCAGTGATAATGAAAAAATTGGATCTTGGAAAAATTAGGGATTACCCTGTCCTCTAATCAAGAACAGAAGTCTTCTAGCAGAAACACCTACACAGAATATCCTAAACAAGCCACTATGGGAAACTCATTTAGCAAATTTATTTATAGAGGTAGATTATGAATACAATAATTGTACACAGAAAGAGCAGAACTGAGGTGGTACAGAGCTTTCACTATTCGAGTTCCCTGGGCAAGTGTCAGGATTAGCAGCTGGCTCCTCAGGAGCCAGGATCTATGTGCATCAGCCTTTGCCAAAAGCTTCCTCACACTGCACTGCTTCACGCTGACTGTGCGCTCAACATGTCACGGCTCATTAAAACCTTCATGGATTTCCTGGGAATTGCACTGATTACCCTGAAGCACATAGGCTAGAAATTAGTGAGCTGCTGAAACAGTTTGTCACGTAAAACCTAAGGCTGCCTGGTTTTCAGGCATATACAAGTAAC